GGGGATAGTCAACATTCTAAAGGGGTCCGGATGTAGAGTGAGGGGGGGGATAGTCACATTCTAAAGGGGTCCAGGATGTAGAGTGAGGGGGGGGGATAGTCACATTCTAAAGGGGTCCGGATGTAGAAGTGAGGGGGGGGGATAGTCAACATTCTAAAGGGGTCCGGATGTAGAGTGAGGGGGGGGATAGTCAACATTCTAAAGGGGTCCGGATGTAGAGTGAGGTGGGGGGATAGTCAACATTCTAAAGGGGTCCGGATGTAGAGTGATGGGGGGGGATAGTCAACATTCGAAAGGGGTCCGGATGTAGAGTGAGGGAGGGGATAGTCAACATTCTAAAGGGGTCCGGATGTAGAGTGAGGGGGGGGATAGTCAACATTCTAAAGGGGTCCGGATGTAGAGTGAGGGGGGGGGATAGTCAACATTCTAAAGGGGTCCGGATGTAGAGTGAGGGGGGGGATAGTCAACATTCTAAAGGGGTCCGGATGTAGAGTGAGGGGGGGGATAGTCAACATTCTAAAGGGGTCCGGATGTAGAGTGAGGGGGGGGGGGATAGTCAACATTCTAAAGGGGTCCGGATGTAGAGTGAGGGGGGGGATAGTCAACATTCTAAAGGGGTCCGGATGTAGAGTGAGGGGGGGATAGTCAACATTCTAAAGGGGTCCGGATGTAGAGTGAGGGGGGGGGATAGTCAACATTCTAAAGGGGTCCGGATGTAGAGTGAGGGGGGGGGATAGTCAACATTCTAAAGGGTTGTCCGATGTAGAGTGAGGGGGGGGATAGTCAACATTCTAAAGGGGTCCGGATGTAGAGTGAGGGGGGGGATAGTCAACATTCTAAAGGGGTCCAGATGAAGAGTGAGGGGGGGGATAGTCAACATTCTAAAGGGGTCCGGATGTAGAGTGAGGGGGGGGGATAGTCAACATTCTAAAGGGGTCCGGATGTAGAGTGAGGGGGGGGATAGTCAACATTCTAAAGGGGTCCGGATGAAGAGTGAGGGGGGGGATAGTCAACATTCTAAAGGGGTCCAGATGAAGAGTGAGGGGGGGGGATAGTCAACATTCTAAAGGGGTCCGGATGTAGAGTGAGGGGGGGGGATAGTCAACATTCTAAAGGGGTCCAGATGTAGAGTGAGGGGGGGATAGTCAACATTCTAAAGGGGTCCGGATGTAGAGTGAGGGGGGGGATAGTCAACATTCTAAAGGGGTCCGGATGTAGAGTGAGGGGGGGGGATAGTCAACATTCTAAAGGGGTCCAGATGTAGGGTGAGGGGGGGGATAGTCAACATTCTAAAAGGGTTGTCGATGTAGAGTGAGGGGGGAGATAGTCAACATTCTAAAGGGGTCCGATGTAGAGTGAGGGGGGGATAGTCAACATTCTAAAGGGGTCCGGATGTAGAGTGAGGGGGGGATAGTCAACATTCTAAAGGGGTCCGGATGTAGAGTGAGGGGGGGGGGATAGTCAACATTCTAAAGGGGTCCGGATGTAAAGTGAGGGGGGGGGATAGTCAACATTCTAAAGGGGTCCGGATGTAGAGTGAGGGGGGGGTATAGTCAACATTCTAAAGGGGTCCGGATGTATAGTGAGGGGGAGGATAGTCAACATTCTAAAGGGGTCCGGATGTAGAGTGAGGCGGGGGATAGTCAACATTCTAAAGGGGTCCGGATGTAGAGTGAGGGGGGGGATAGTCAACATTCTAAAGGGGTCCGGATGTAGAGTGAGGGGGGGGATAGTCAACATTCTAAAGAGGTCCGGATGTAGAGTGAGGGGGGGGGATAGTCAACATTCTAAAGGGGTCCGGATGTAGAGTGAGGGGGGGATAGTCAACATTCTAAAGGGGTCCGGATGTAGAGTGGAGGGGGGGGGATAGTCCAACATTCTAAAGGGGTCAGGATGTAGAGTGAGGGGGGGGATAGTCAACATTCTAAAGGGTCCGGACTGTAGAGTGAGGGGGGGGATAGGTCAACATTCCTAAAGGGGTCCAGATGTAGGGTGAGGGGGGGGATAGTCAACATTCTAAAGGGTCCTGATGTAGAGTGAGGGGGGGGATAGTCAACATTCTAAAGGGGTCCGGATGTAGAGTGAGGGGGGGGATAGTCAACATTCTAAAGGGGTCCGGATGTAGAGTGAGGGGGGGATAGTCAACATTCTAAAGGGGGTCCGGATGTAGAGTGAGGGGGGGGGGATAGTCAACATTCTAAAGGGGTCCGGATGTAGAGTGAGGGGGGGGATAGTCAACATTCTAAAGGGGTCCGGATGTAGATGTGAGGGGGGGGGATAGAAAACATTCTAAAGGGGTCCGGATGTAGGGTGAGGGGGGGGATAGTCAACATTCTAAAGGGGTCCGGATGTATAGTGAGGGGGGGATAGTCAACATTCTAAAGGGGTCCAGATGTAGAGTGAGGGGGGGGATAGTCAACATTCTAAAGGGTCCGGATGTAGAGTGAGGGGGGGATAGTCAACATTCTAAAGGGGTCCGGATGTAGAGTGAGGGGGGGGGGGGATAGTCAACATTCTAAAGGGGTCCGGATGTAGAGTGAGGGGGGGGGATAGTCAAACATTCTAAAGGGGTCCGGATGTAGAGTGAGGGGGGGTGATAGTCAACATTCTAAAGGGGTCCGGATGTAGAGTGAGGGGGGGGGATAGTCAACATTCTAAAGGGGTCCGGATGTAGAGTGAGGGGGGGGGATAGTCAACATTCTAAAGGGGTCCTGATGTAGAGTGAGGGGGGGGATAGTCAACATTCTAAAGGGGTCCGGATGTAGAGTGAGGGGGGGGGATATTCAACATTAAAAAGGGGTCCGGATGTAGAGTGAGGGGGGGGTGATAATCAACATTCTAAAGGGGTCCGGATGTAGAGTGAGGGGGGGGGATAGTCAACATTCTAAAGGGGTTCAGATGTAGGGTGAGGGGGGGGATAGTCAACATTCTAAAGGGGTCGTGAGGTAGAGTGAGGGGGGGGGGGATAGTCAACATTCTAAAGGGGTCCGGATGTAGAGTGAGGGGGGGGATAGTCAACATTCTAAAGTGGTTCAGATGTAGGGTGAGGGGGGGGATAGTCAACATTCTAAAGGGGTCCGGATGTAGAGTGAGGTGGGGGAGAGATAGTCAACATTCTAAAGGGGTCCGGATGTAGATTGAGGGGGGGGATAGTCAACATTCTAAAGGGGTCCGGATGTAGAGTGAGGGGGGGGGATAGTCAACATTTTAAAGGGGTCCGGATGTAGAGTGAGGGGGGTGATAGTCAACATTCTAAAGGGGTCCTGATGTAGAGTGAGGGGGGGATAGTCAACATTCTAAAGGGGTTCTGATGTAGAGTGAGGGGGGGTGATAGTCAACAATCTAAAGGGGTCCGGATGTAGAGTGAGGGGGGGGGGGGGGATAGTCAACATTCTAAAGGGGTCCGGATGTAGAGTGAGGGGGGGGGATAGTCAACATTCTAAAGGGGTCCGGATGTAGAGTGAGGGGGGGATAGTCAACATTCTAAAGGGGTCCAGATGTAGAGTGAGGGGGGGGATAGTCAACATTCTAAAGGGGTCCGGATGTAGAGTGAGGGGGGGGGGATATTCAACATTCTAAAGGGGTCCGGATGTAGAGTGAGGGGGGGGTGATAATCAACATTCTAAAGGGGTCCGGATGTAGAGTGAGGGGGGGGGGATAGTCAACATTCTAAAGGGGTTCAGATGTAGGGTGAGGGGGGGGGATAGTCAACATTCTAAAGGGGTCGGGATGTAGAGTGAGGGGGGTGATAGTCAACATTCTAAAGGGGTCCGGATGTAGAGTGAGGGGGGGGATAGTCAACATTCTAAAGGGGTCGGGATGTAGAGTGAGGGGGGGGGGATAGTCAACATTCTAAAGGGGTCCGGATGTAGAGTGAGGGGGGGGGATAGTCAACATTCTAAAGGGGTTCAGATGTAGGGTGAGGGGGGGGATAGTCAACATTCTAAAGGGGTCCGGATGTAGAGTGAGGGGGGGGGATAGTCAACATTCTAAAGGGGTCCGGATGTAGAGTGAGGGGGGGGAGAGATAGTCAACATTCTAAAGGGGTCCGGATGTAGAGTGAGGGGGGGGATAGTCAACATTCTAAAGGGGTCCGGATGTAGAGTGAGGGGGGGGATAGTCAACATTTTAAAGGGGTCCGGATGTAGAGTGAGGGGGGTGATAGTCAACATTCTAAAGGGGTCCTGATGTAGAGTGAGGGGGGGGATAGTCAACATTCTAAAGGGGTTCTGATGTAGAGTGAGGGGGGGGATAGTCAACATTCTAAAGGGGTCCGGATGTAGAGTGAGGGGGGGGATAGTCAACATTCTAAAGGGGTCCGGATGTAGAGTGAGGGGGGCGGGATAGTCAACATTCTAAAGGGGTCCGGATGTAGAGTGAGGGGGGGGATAGTCAACATTCTAAAGGGGTTCGGATGTAGGGTGGGGGGGGAAGGAAACTCTATAAATACTATAACATCAGGTATGAAAAAAGACTATTAGCAAATATGCACTGTTAGCTCGATATACCTGCAGAGACAACAGCTAGATATACCTGCAGAGACAACAGCTAGATATACCTGCAGAGACAACAGCTAGATATACCTGCAGAGACAACAGCTAGATATACCTGCAGAGACAACAGCTAGATATACCTGCCAGAGACAACAGCTAGATATACCTGCAGAGACAACAGCTAGATATACCTGCAGAGACAACAGCTAGATATACCTGCAGAGACAACAGCTAGATATACCTGCAGAGACAACAGCTAGATATACCTGCAGAGACAACAGCTAGATATACCTGCAGAGACAACAGCTAGATATACCTGCAGAGACAACAGCTAGATATACCTGCAGAGACAACAGCTAGATATACCTGCAGAGACAACAGCTAGATATACCTGCAGAGACAACAGCTCGATATACCTGGAAGGCATCGCACAGCTAACGTGCATTTCGTGCCCTTCATGGGAGCAATAGGCGAACAAAGCTCCCGGGACACGTGCAGCACACTCACCTGAATCCAAGTATCTGGATCTCCCTGAACGTCGGTCCAATTTTCGCGTACTCCACCCTGAGCTGCGAACGGGGAGAGAACGGTGTGTTACGGCTCGTCAGGTGGTGCGTGGTGGTGCGGGGAGAGAGCGGTGTGTTACAGCTCGTCAGGTGGTGCGTGGTGGTGTGGGGAGAGAGCGGTGTGTTACAGCTCGTCAGGTGGTGCGTGGTGGTGCGTGGAGAGAGCGGTGTGTTACAGCTCGTCAGGTGGTGCGTGGTGGTGCGTGGAGAGAGCGGTGTGTTACAGCTCGTCAGGTGGTGCGTGGTGGTGCGGCTGGCGTCGTAACCAGAAGCCAAAAAACCACGACCGGCATGTATCCCTGAATGAGCACCATCCAGCCCGCACCTCCGATTGGGGCACCGCGGTGACGAGATGTTAACAACCTCGCCTGATCTACAGGAGGTCATGGGCTTCGATCCCGACCCTACCATCTGTATATTAAGAGTCTGCATGTAGTATCTCTATCTGTCCCCGGGGTCACGTGGATTTTTCTCCGGGCCCTCCGGGTTTTCCCTCCACGTTTGTTAGAAGGTAAATCATCGAAACACACATTAAGCACGGTCACGTAATTACAACTTACTTTGTTTCATCAAACCCTCTGTATTTATGAACATTGTAATGTTTTTTTTAACGATTGAGTGCAAGGCTGCAGTCAAGGTTAAGAACCACTGGTCTTGAAGCATCCAGCAGCATCCCAATTCCTTGCGTGACGATGCTACGCCGAGGCAGCCGTTACGACCGCTTCTTCCTCAGGGGCCGTCCATAAATGACGTCACGCGATTTTGGACGATTTTTGACCCCCCCCCTCGTCACACGGCGTCACAAAAAGTCAGACCCCCCCTCAAATATGACGTCACAAAACACTGCCCTCCCCCCCCCCAAAACCATATTTCCATTTTGAAAAATAAAACATGCTTCAAATCGCTTTAAACTATTGTCATTGTAGTGCGTATTTAATGCGGCGCTGCACTCTGATGTTGTAGGAGAAAACATTTATTAAAATGTGTATTTAATTAAGTAGAACGTGTTGTCTATATTTAAAGCTTCGCATTTTGATGTGACGTCACATTTCTCACCCCCCTCCCCAGGTGCGTGACGTCATTTATGGACGGCCCCTCAACCGCGTTGCATGCAACTGGCGTTATGAAGGCACCACGCATTGTAACAGGAGAACAGAGCGCACATGCACACACACGGACGGCAAATGCATCGTCCACAACGGCACGGCCCTGGATGGGGTGCTGGCCTTGGTTTGGATGACCGCTCGCAGACTTTCCAACATTCTCGGAGGTGAAAAGTCCTGCAACGGTGTGGACGCACTGCGTGTTGGACCTCTTTTGCACCGTACGTAGCCAACCGTGCTCATCGGAGGTGCGGGGTGAAGGATAACGCAACTAAAAGCTGATCTAAAGAAATGAGTTTTCAATCCAGATTGAAAAAAAAACAAAAGATTGGGAGAGGCCAAGAATGGGAACAAGATGGTGCTTGAAGACGTACTGTATAGGAAAGGGGTGTGCGTACAGTGAAGTCCATCGCTGTCAACCCCTTACCAGTGCCCGACCTTATCACAGACCAATTCAGGACCTCACTGGTCACCACGTGCCCTTATAAATCTCAACGTTCAACCTACAAAGTGGCCGATTGCTTGACCGACGCCGCTGACCCCCCCTCCTCCTGCCATGCCTTGCGAAGGTGGGAAACCCCCCCCCTAAGGGCAACTCCCAGCACGAGGTGGCTGATGATGATGTCACCTCGCCTCCCGTCCAGCGGCACACGTGGGAACAGCGAAAGGCGACAGTGCGATGCAACAGCTATGCACGTCACCGTACGCCCACCCATTTCCTTTGCAGTCCCTCGCCAAGCGGAGTTCTTCTTGTTCCCACAACAACAACAACAACCACCACCAAAGTTCACCAACCGGTCCCCAGCTCCGATTGTTTCCCTTCGCGTGTGCGCCACTGAACGGCGCCCCGCAGCGAGCTGCCTGCCCGCTGAGTCACGCGGGGCGCTGACGGCTCGACATGAGGAAGTTGTCGAACAGGTGGGGTCGCTTTGCATAGCAGTGCGCGTGTGTGTGTGTGAATGTACCTGAGTGTGTGTGTGTGAACGTACGTGTGTGTGTGAATGTACGTGTGTGTGTGTGAATGTACGTGAGTGTGTGTGTGTGTGCATGTACCTGAGTGCGTGTGTGTGTGAGAATGTACGTGAGAGCGTGTGTGAGTGAATGTACGTGAGTGCGTGCGTGTGAATGTACGTGAGTGTGTGTGTGAATGTACGTGAGTGTGTGTGTGTGAATGTACCTGAGTGTGTGTGTGTGAATGTACCTGAGTGCGTGTGTGTGTGAATGTACGTGAGTGTGTGTGTGTGTGAATGTACGTGAGTGTGTGTGTGAATGTACGTGAGTGTGTGTGTGTGAATGTACCTGAGTGTGTGTGTGTGAATGTACCTGAGTGCGTGTGTGTGTGAATGTACGTGAGTGTGTGTGTGTGAATGTACGTGAGTGTGTGTGTGTGAATGAATGTACGTGAGTGCGTGTGTGTGTGAATGTACCTGAGTGTGTGTGTGTGTGAACGTACGTGTGTGTGTGTGAATGTACGTGTGTGTGTGTGAATGTACGTGAGTGTGTGTGTGAATGTACCTGAGTGTGTGTGTGTGTGAATGTACCTGAGTGCGTGTGTGTGTGAATGTACGTGAGTGTGTGTGTGTGAATGTACGTGAGTGTGTGTGTGTGAATGAATGTACGTGAGTGCGTGTGTGAGTGAATGTACGTGAGTGCGTGCGTAGCGATAGTGTAGCGGTTAGCGCGCTGCGCTATGAACCTGGCGACCCGGGTTCGATTCCTGCTCACGGCCAACACCAGTGACGATTATCTGAACCGGTCCCGGGCCTCCCCTAGGTCGACTCAGCCTCAAATGAGTACCTGGTGCGGTGTGTAAACATTGCCACTAGGGAGACAAAGGCGGTCGGGCGTGGTGCTAGCCACCCACCCCCTCGTGTACCGTTCCGGCCTTCATAGGTGCTCGCTAACAGCACTTGCCCCTACAGTCTGTTAAGGCTATATGGGGGATCTTTGTCTTTTGTGAATGTACGTGAGTGCGTGCGTGTGAATGTACGTGAGTGTGTGTGTGAATGTACGTGAGTGCGTGCGTGTGAATGTACGTGAGTGTGTGTGTGAATGTACGTGAGAGCGTGTGTGTGTGTGAATGTACGTGAGTGCGTATGTGAATGAATGTACGTGAGTGTGTGAATGTATGTGAGTGTATGTGTGAATGTACGTGAGTGCGCGTGTGTGTGTGAATGTACCTGAGTGTGTGTGTGTGAATGTACGTGAGAGCGTGTGTGTGTGTGAATGTACGTGAGTGTGTGTGTGAATGTACCTGAGAGCGTGTGTGAATGTACCTGAGAGCGTGGGTGCGTGTGTGTGAATGTACGTGAGTGCGTGTGTGTGTGTGAATGTACGTGAGTGCGTGTGTGGGGAGCGATAGTGCGTGTGTGGGGAGCGATAGTGTAGCGGTTAGCGCACTGCGCTATGAACCTGGCGACCCGGGTTCGATTCCCGCTCACGGCCAACACCAGTGACGATTATCTGAACCGGTCCCGGGCCTCCCCTAGGTCGACTCAGCCTCAAATGAGTACCTGGTGCGGTGTGTAAATATCGCCACTAGGGAGACAAAGGCGGTCGGGCGTGGTGCTGGCCACCCACCCCCTCGTGTACCGTTCCGGCCTTCATAGGTGCTCGCTAACAGCACTTGCCCCTACAGTCTGTTACAGGCTATATGGGGGATCTTTGTTGTTTTATCTTTGTGTGTGTGAATGTACCTGAGTGTGTGTGTGTGAATGTACGTGAGTGTGTGTGTGAATGTACGTGAGTGTGTGTGTGAATGTACCTGAGAGCGTGGGTGTGTGTGTGAATGTACGTGAATGTATGTGAGTGTGTGTGTGAATGTACGTGAGTGTGTGTGTGAATGTACGTGAGTGCGCGTGTGTGTGTGAATGTACGTGAGAGCGTGTGTGTGTGTGTGTGAATGTACCTGAGTGTGTGTGTGTGTGAATGTACCTGAGTGTGTGTGTGTGAATGTACGTGAGAGCGTGTGTGTGTGTGTGTGAATGTACCTGAGTGTGTGTGTGAATGTACGTGAGAGCGTGTGTGAATGTACGTGAGTGTGTGTGTGAATGTACCTGAGAGCGTGTGTGTGTGTGTGAATGTGCGTGAGAGCGTGTGTGTGTGTGAAACATTTAGGCTGGCCTGCCAACGATCCATCCTGGGTTTAACCAGACTGGATTGTGTGAGGAGCTCACAAATCCTTGAAAGATCTGGGCAGGGTCCCATCGGTGAGCTCCTCCGGCAGGCAAGGCTGCGATGGCTGGGTCATGTAGCCCGCATGCCCAGCCACCGCATGCCGAAACAGCTTTTGTTTGGCCGGATTGAGGGGGCTAAGCGGGCGCGGCACGGGCTAGAGAAGGGATGGAGTGATGTGGTACAGGAGGACGTGGAGCTGAGTGGACTTGCCGATGACTGGTACCAGCGGTGTCAAGATCGGCCTCTGTGGAGGAGGCTCGTGAAGGATGCTACTGGGCAGTTGGAGGCAGTCGCCCTCCAACAACAACGGAGGGCGGAGGAGCAACGCTCACAACAACGAGCGGAGCGCCGGGTGGCTAAAGCACAGCAGGTTGGCACAGTAGGGGGCACAGGTGGTGCATCAGCCAGTCATCTCAGTCAGTCGACCCGTGGCACCTGGGTCTGCCCAGTGACCTCCTGCCAGCGGGCGTTCGACACTTCACGTGGCCTCACGGTGCACATAGCCTGGCACAAGCGTCGTGGTGACGTCACCGCCACTTAGTGGCGAATGGCGGTTGTTGTTGTTGTTGTATGAATGTACGTGAGTGCGTGTGTGTGCGTGTGTGTGTTGGCCACGAGCGGGAATCGAACTCGGATCACCGGGTTTGTAGCGCAGCGCGCTAACCAATACACTACCGCTCCCCACTGTGTGTGTGTGCGCGTTCTAACCGCTACACCACACACATACACACACTGACACAGGAACACACACACACTGACACAGGAACACTCACACACTGACACAGGAACACACACACACTGACACAGGAACACTCACACACTGACACAGGAACACACACACACTGACACAGGAACACTCACACACTGACACAGGAACACACACACACTGACACAGGAACACACACACACTGACACAGGAACACTCACACACTGACACAGGAACACTCACACACTGACACAGGAACACACACACACCCAAGCATTAGCAGACCCTTGCCTTGGCACTACTCACAATTTTTAGGATATCGCTTTCCAACTCCTTGTACTTGGCCGAGGTGGGGTCCTTCAAGTCCTCCGTGAAATCTATCCCCATCTTCAACGACGTCTTAAAGGTATCTGTGTAACAGAGAGGACAATGACCCTCTCACAGACCCTCAACCCCCCCCCGCGGGAAGGGAATAGTTTCACGCAACATCCGCGCGTGATCCACCAACCATTGCTGCTGCTGCCTCCGCTGTCACTCCAGGCAGCCGCGTACAGCAGCAGTGTAGTCACCACCGCGCGGTTTAAAGGGGGGCGGCTGCGGTCACTTGAAACATGAAATGTCTTTTTTGGGGGTTAGCGTAAATTTAAATGTGCCGTTAAACCCGCCACCACCCGACACAGACCGTTAGCAAGGTTTGGGTTTAACGACACGTTTATATTTACGCGATCTAGCCCCAAAAGCATTTATTGTGGATAATATTTGTGTCGAAAGCCCGACTGCTGCTACTGCTGCTGCGACGTGTTAAACACACGTGGAAGAGGCATCGTGTCAAGCTCGATCAGAGCAGCCCGTGACGCCGTCGTCTGCTCGGCCTCTCTCGACAACATTCTACTTTGCCTCTCGTGGGGGGCTATTTGGAGGGGGGGGGCGAGGTGTGTGGAGGGGGGAGCGAGGTGTGTGGAGGGGGGGGCGAGGTGTGTGGAGGGGGGGGCGTGGTGTGTGGAGGGGGGGGTGAGGTGTGTGGAGGGGGGGCGAGGTGTGTGGAGGGGGGGCAGTTCCAGTCGTGACTCGCCGCGCGTGGTTCCTGGGACCCCCCCCCCCCGTGGACTCACTCAAGGGCGGGGGGCGAGGAGAGGTGACGGTGATCGGCTTCACTGTGGTCCCTGCCGTCGTGGTGGTCACCGTTGTTGTGGGCGTTGTTGTTGTTGGTGTTGTTGTTGGCGTTGTTGTTGTTGGTGTTGTTGTTGGCGTTGTTGTTGTTGGCGTTGTTGTTGGCGTTGTTGTTGGCGTTGTTGTTGGTGGTGGTGTTGTTGGCGTTGTTGTTGGTGTGGTTGTTGGCGTTGTTGTTGGCGTTGTTGTTGGTGGTGGTGTTGTGGTTGTTAACGTTGTGAGTGCTGTGCTGGTTAGGTTGGCGGCCGTAGTGACGTTGGGCGTGGTTGTCGGCGTGCTTGGAGGGGGAGGCGCGCTGCACTGGAAGGGGTCCGGGGGTGTCCCCCGGACGCAGCTGCACCCCTGCGGGGGTCCCCAGGGGTCCGAGGAGCAGGGCCCCAGCGCCTGGCAGGTGGAGGTGTTCCACAGCAGCCCCGCTCCGCACCGACACTGCGTCTCGTTGCCTTGGGGGACACACTCTGAGAAGGGGGCCGGGGGGGGGGGGATGAGATAGAGGTGGTGGTGATGAAGATCATGACTGCGGTGGTGAGGGTAGGAGGGGGTAGTGATGGTGATGACAGTTACGGTGGTCAGAGTGGTGGTGGTGGTGTTGGGTGATACTGATCGTGATGATGGTGATGATGATCATCATGATGACGATCGCTGTGGCTCGGGTGAAGGTGGTGGGTGGCGATGGTAGTCATGATGACGATTACGATCGGATTAGGAATGATGATGATGGTGATGATGATGACGCGGGAGACGACCATGGCAGGTGACGCGTGAAGAATCATACGAAGCAGTAGCAGCGGCATCATCATCATGAGCAGTGCCGTCATCATCATCATGAGTAATGCCGTCATCATCATCATGAGTAGTGTCATCATCATCATGAGTAGTGCCGTCATCATCATGAGTAGTGCCGTCATCATCATCATGAGTAGTGCTGTCATCATCATGAGTAATGCCGTCATCATCATCATGAGTAGTGTCATCATCATCATGAGTAGTGCCATCATCATCATGAGTAGTGCCGTCGTCATCATGAGTAGTGCTGTCATCATCATGAGTAGTGCTGTCATCATCATCATCATGAGTAGTGCCGTCATCATCATGAGTAGTGCCGTCGTCATCATGAGTAGTGCTGTCATCATCATAATGAGTAGTGCTGTCATCATCATCATGAGTAGTGCCGTCATCATCATCATCATGAGTAGTGCCATCATCATCATGAGTAGTGCCATCATCATCATGAGTATTGCCATCATCATCATGAGTAGTGCTGTCATCATCATAATGAGTAGTGCTGTCATCATCATCATGAGTAGTGCCGTCATCATCATCATCATGAGTAGTGCCATCATCATCATGAGTAGTGCCATCATCATCATGAGTATTGCCGTCATCATCATGAGTAGTGCCGTCGTCATCATCATCATGAATAGTGCCGTCGTCATCATCATCATGAGTAGTGCCGTCATCATCATCATCATGAGTAGTGCCGTCATCATCATGATTATGATGATGATGACGGCATCATCATCATGACACGCACCCCGCACACGTGCGCACACACACACACCCCGCACACGTGCGCACGCACCCGCACACGTGCGCACACACCCACCCCGCACACGCACACACACACCCCGCACACGTGTGCACACGCACCCCGCACACGCGCACACACCCCGCACCCGCGCGGGCACACACACCCCGCACACGTGCGCACACACACCCCGCACCCACGCGGGCACACACCGCTGATGAGCACGGGATCGGTGATGTTGACGTAGCTGCCGTTGAAGGATAACAGAGGGAGGTTGAGCAGAAGGTTGATGAGGGTTTGTTTGTCAAAGAACTCGTCCGTGCTGGAGATCTCCAGCTCCACCAGGAACGACTGCGTCGGGGCAGCTGCCGACAGAGACCACAGAGTCACCATAGAGCACGAATCAAAGACAAAGATCCCCCGCGTAGCCTCAACAAACTGTTGGGGCAAGTGCTGTTAGCGAGTAGCACTTACGAAGGCGTAGGTGCTACACGAGGGGTTGGATGGCCAGCATGACGCCCGACCGCCTTTGTCTCCCCAATAGCAAAGTTTACACACCGCTCTCGGTAAGTATTTGAGGCCGAGTTGACCTAGGGGAGGCCCACGACCGGTCTAAATAATCGTCACTGGTGTTGGTGGCCATGAGCGGGAAACGAACTCCGGTCGCTGGGTTCGTAGCGCAGCGTAGAGCTAACCAGCTGCCCCGCCACTGCCCCCCAAGTTGTTTTGACCAGGTGCTGTTCATGACGAACGTGCGGATTTGTGTTTTTATCTGACCGCCATAGCAGTCCCTTGGTGTTTTAGTTTTCGTGTTGTCATTTTAGCTTTGAGTTTGTGAGGAGAGAAAAAAAAGGAGACGCGGTTGGAGGCGTTACCTCGTGCGACCCGCGCTGCGCGTGCACCCTCCGTGCTCCCTGCACCCTGGGGGCACCGGGAAGAGACGAGAGGAAGTGTCAGCAGAACTCATTCCGCACGGCACGTGACCTCATTCCACACGGCACGTGATCTCATTCCCCACGGCACGTGACTTCATTCCGCACGGTACGTGACCTCATTCCGCACGGCACGTGACCTCATTCCGCACGGCACGTGACCTCATTCCGCACGGCACGTGACCTCATTCCGCACGACTGTCGACCACGTGTGGGTGGTGTTGGCAGTGGTGATGGGTGGAACGGTGATGGTGGCTATTGGGGTATTGGTGATGATTGCAATGGTTATGGTAGGTTTGCGGTTGATGATGATGTGGTGGTGGTGCTGCATCGTCATGATCATGTCATCATCGACAACATTTATATCATCATTGTGCACAAATAACAAATAACTCAACACATTCGTCAATCGCACTGTGGCCTTAAAAGGAAAAGTATAATCGGCGACGTTTTGGGCAGCAGCCTTTCTTCAAAGCACATGATTGAGATGTGTTGCAATGTGTACACCCCTGGCAGCGCTGTGATTTGTTTTTTATCATCACGCTGAGTGTGATCGATGATGTATATGATTGATACTGTGCGATGTGCATTGAATTACTGATTTATCGCCAGTCTGTGTGTACTCAAGGACATGACATGCGCAACACAATACAAAGATAAAGATCCCCGTATAGCCTTTAACCGGCTCTGAGGGCAAGTGTTGTTAGCGAGTAGCACCTACGAACGCCGGCACGGCGCACGAGAGGGCGGGTGTCCAACCACACGCCTGGCCGCCTTTGTTTCCCCAGTGCTGATGCTTACACACTTGCACCGTGTATTCATCGAAGTCTCAGTCGACCCAGGGGAGGCACGTGACCGGTTCGAACATTCCCCACCGGATGTCGGCCATGAGCGGCAGTCGAACTCGGGTGGCTGGGGTTCGCGACACCTGCTGCCCCCCCCCCCCCATGCCGTGCGTGTTTCGCCCGTCGTGCCAGGCGTCTCCGACTGGCTCGACGGGTTTCACGCCCGGCACGAAGTCGCTCGCATTCTTGACGCCCCCGTCCCTTTTGTCGGACTGGCCCGGGGAGGCGGAACGGGGTTTGCGTAAATAACCCCCCCCCCCCCACCGTCGAACACGCGGCACGTGCCTACATGGCTTGTGGGAATGCCGTTGTTGAACATCTCATCAGCCGTGGTCAATCCACCGCTGGATGTAAATCGCCCGTTCTGTACCCGCTCCGCACGTGAGCGGCTCATTTCATCGCTCCATCTCCCCACTCGTGCGCGTTCCGTCCCTTGGCCGCCACTCCGTTATGAACCTCGACCATCGGTCGTGCTCACTCCCCCGCCGGGCATGCTGAGTCCTGCCCGTGCCCACCGTTCTCAACAGTGTGAGTGGCGATGTCATTCACCTGCGCGTGCGTTTCCTAATCCACGCCTTTAGCAACCACTTTGTGTGTCTTCCGTGCCTGGCAAGGGCTCAAACTAACGCTACCTCGCGGCCATGCCCCACGGTATCAGCAGCAGCAGAATGGTTATCATCATTAGCAGCAGCGTGTTTTCGGATATTGGCGTTAATTGATTCACAAACTAAACGCAATTATGTTGCTTATTATATTTAACGCCCCATCTCCTCCTCTACAGGATGGTCCAGATGTCTTGTAACCCCCCCCCCCCCCCAATTCATTGACCCCAAACATTGTTTTTTTCATTTTAATATTCATTTCTATTTGAAATAAACCTTACTTTTAAAATATTACGTTTTAGAGAATTAAATGGGGGTCAAATGACACCTGGACCACTCTCTTACACGTTGTGTGATGCTGGCAGTCGTAGTACCCCGTTCCTGTGCTAACCACTGTGATCAGTGGAGCTACTCCCCGCAGATTTCTGCTATCAAATGAGCACCAACCCCGATGTGAAGGCTCAGGAGCAGCATCAGGGCCGGGGTGATCCGGGCGAGTTGCTCCATCGATCCTCGGGCGAGGCTCGTGGGGTTCACAGATCTCGACTCCAAGGACCTCGATCCTCCTTGACCTCCTCACCTCCTGGTCGCTGAACCCAAGGAGTTCCTCTGTTGGTAATGGACAACAGAAGCAGAATATATATACACAATTTGTATTATTGAATCACGATTTGCTGAGCAAAGCCCGACAACGCCGAGTGGCCGGTAACAACAGCACCGTTAACATTGCAATAAATGAGATTTCATAGATTACTTAGATTTAGCAAGGTTATGATGAGAACTGGGGAAATGATGCGACGCATCGCTACTCCAAAGTGGGGGCGAATACGCAGAACGATAAGTGATGTGGCCTGGGGTGTGGTGAGTGGGTGAGCGAGTGTATTGGTGAGTGAGTAGGTGGGTGGGTGGTTGGGTGTGTGTGTGTTGTGGCCTGCAGTGTGGTGAGTGGGTAAGAAAGTGGGTGGGTGAGTGAGTAGGTGGGTGGTTGGGTGTGTGTGTGTGTTGTGGCCTGCAGTGTGGTGAGTGGGTGAGCGAGTGGATTGGTGAGTGAGTAGGTGGGTGGGTGGTTGGGTGTGTGTGTGTGTTGTGGCCTGCAGTGTGGTGAGTAGGTGAGCGAGTGAGTAGGTGGGTGCGAGTGGTTGACTGGGTGAGTGTGATGTGACCTGCAGTGTGGTGAGTGAGTGAGCGAGTGGATTGGTGAGTGAATCGGTGGGTGGGTGAGTTGTTGTGACCCGCAGAGCGGTGGTTGAACGCAGCGTGAATGAGACGGATCAGGCGAGCTGTGAACAGAGACGACTTTAACAAAATAAAGAACGTGTCCGATATCGCCAGATCTCGAGGCTAAGCAGATTTGGACCTGCATAGTGCCACGGATGGGTGACCACCATTCACGCCAAGTTGGCATCGATGGATATGGGACCGAGGCAGCCGGTGGTCAGAAGGTGGACAGTACAACACCCAATTGTTGTACCGCACTTCGATGCTCTCGCGTCGATACCAGGCACCCCGCCTTGAAAGGCGCCGAAGTATGGCCAACGAACACCAACGACCCACTTGGTGCGTGGAGAGGCGCTCAACCAACCATGGATTTACAACAGAGGCTCAGATCGTCGGCTGCATTCCACGTGAATTGGTTCATAGGCGGTTTCACGTTTCGGGTTTACAATTCCCATGATTGATGGCACGGGCATTTCAGATTTTTGCTGCGTTGGGAGGGGGGGTCGCTAAACCGGCGTAAATATTTCGTCGCGTTGTTGTTCTCCCCCACCAATCCCCACTCAATGACTCTGCAGTGTTTGCGGGTTCGGGTTACCCACACCGCACCTGCATGTAGAGAGAAGACAAAACCCCCCATGTAGCTTACAAAGGCGATTGGAGCGAGTGTCGTCGGTGGCGAGAACCTACGACTGGTGCCATGGCGCAAATCACAATTTGCGCCGTGGTCATCGTAAATTCAAGGCTGCGTCGACCTAGGGGAGGGCCCAGGACCGGTTCAGATAACCACCACTGGTGTTGGACGTGAGCGGTGAATCGAACTCGGGTGGTCGGTTCGTAGCGCAGTCACACACACACACACACGCGTGTGCTCAGCTGTGGCGTTACGCAATAGCCAACACAATGCCAAGAATGTAATCCACATGAACCCACGCACGAGCACACGCGCCCTCGTGATTGCTAACCTTGGTTATGAGAGTTGTCCGTTTATAAATGCGCTTTCATACCCACAACAACAGCCATTCGCTACAAAGTAGTGGAGACGTTCCCTCGGCGCTTGTGCCAGGCTAGGTGCGCTTTGAGGCCACATGAAGTGTCAAGCAGACCAACATATAGTAATAGGTTTTACCCCTTTAACTGGCACAAAAACTGACACCTTTATTCAAGGCATCATGTTTGCAATAACCACAACACAAGCAGTCAAAAAGCAAACAAAAGAGACAACTCTGATAATAATATGCACTGTCCTTGAATTTGATTGGTCAAGGGTAAAAACCTATTACTATATATCTTGTTACTGACAAAGGAGGTCTCATAATGTAAATGCTCACCCCGAGCCCTCAATACTCTGATAGTGCGCTGTTTTTTGAGTTGTACGCCTTTTGGCGTCTTCTGGTCCAACACCAGTGGAGACTAGGCTCTAATTAAAGCCGTCTCGGGTGTGGACCAATCAAATTCAAGGACAGTGCATATTATTATCAGAGTTGTCTCTTTTGTTTGCATTTTGACTGCTTGTGTTGTGGTTATTGCAAACATGATGCCTTGAATAAAGGTGTCAGTTTTTGTGCCAGTTAAAAAGGTAAAACCTATTACTATATCTTGTTACTGGCAAAGGAGGTCTCATAATGTAAATGCTCACCCCGAGCCCTCAATACTCTGATAGTGCACTGTTTTTTAGTTGTACACCTTTTGGCGTCTTCTGGTCCAACACCAGTGGAGACTAGGCTCTAATTAAAGCCGTCTCGGGTGTGGACCAATCAAATTCAAGGACAGTGCATATTATTATCAGAGTTGTCTCTTTTGTTTGCATTTTGACTGCTTGTGTTGTGGTTATTGCAAACATAATGCCTTGAATAAAGGTGTCAGTTTTTGTGCCAGTTAAAAGGGTAAAACCTATTACTATATCTTGTTACTGGCAAAGGAGGTCTCATAATGTAAACAGACCAACATAGTTTTAAAAATCCCCCGTATAGCTTTAACAGACCTTAGAGTCAAGTGCTGTGAGAGAGTAGCACCGATTCTTTGGGTCTTTTGGTAAAGTCACGTAGATAGGTTCAAAGAAAATAAAAAATAACCTACGTTTCGATTGCAACACAAGCGGTCGTCATCAGGACAAACGCTTGTGTTGCGATCGAAACGTCGTAGTTTTTTAAAATATTTTCTTTGAACCTATCTACGTGACTTTACCGAAAGACCCAGAGACTATGAATTCCTGCAATCACGAGAAATTGAAGTCAAGAGTCGCACCTATACAGGCCGGGACGGCACACACGGGGGTGGCTGGCCAGCACCACGCCCATCCGCCTTTGTTACCCGATTTGGGATGTTTTCACACCGCCCCAGGTACGTATTTGAAGCTGAGTCGACCCAGGGAAGGTCCAAGACCGGTTCAGATAATCGTCACTTGTGTTGGTGACCGTGAGGGGGAATCGAACTCGGGACCCTTGGGATCGTAGCGCAGCGCGCTGCCCGCTACACTACCGCTCCCCGCATGCACACACGCACGCGCATGCAATCAAGCACACGTGCACACAGATCACTTAACACAACACAAAGACAACGATGCACCGTATAGCCTCAACGGGACGTCGGGAAAAGTGCTGTTCGCGAGCACGTGCACCAAAAGCCAGAGGCCTGACGCCTCGCGTGGCTTCTTCGCCTGCGGCCACCCCAGCCCGAAGGCACCGGCTCCATGGGAAGGGAGACTGAATGAGCTCCTCGGTCCGTGGCACGCGTCAGCTTGGTGGGCAAGGGGTGGCAGCACAGCAAGTGGGTTCCCGAACCCGTCCACATGGAGGACCTTTGGGTTGTTATCCCCTCGTGTGCGTGGGTGTGTTTTCTCACAAACTCGATGATTGGAGTAATCCAAGACCAGACGTCCCAATGTGGCAGACCCTTCTGCCATAGAGTCGGGGGTGAACGGAGGGCGTGAGGAAGTGTTCAGGTGGTGGTGAGTTTTTGTATCTATCACGGTTTGATTCACATACCAAGGCTGTGTGGCCTTTATGGAAATGTTTACGTGCACATGAGAAACACAACGCAGATGCCTCTGGACTACAGCAGTTTGAGAGACCAATGTCGACACTTTTATATTTTCTCTATCAGCCCCGGTTTTATCGGGATTGCGTTACCGTCGTTGTGTCGGCACACTGCCTAGAGTGATGCACACTGCTGTAGGAATGCTTACTGCCTAGAGGGATGCACACTGCTGTAGGTATTCTTACTGCCTAGAGGGATGCACACTGCTGTAGGTATGCACACTGCTATATATGTAGTGGAGTATGAAGGTGTGTTGTGGAAACTGCGCGATTGCATGATCACACGGACAGTGTGCGGTTATCTGGGGTCAGCCTATGGAGAAGGCGTAAACAGTGTGGGTCGTCTTAGGACAGCCAGGTGCAAAGGCTGAAATGATGAGGTAACGGTTGGGCCAATTAGACAGAGGATCAGCAACGGCGGTGATTGGCTGTGGCTGTTGTCAAGGGCGAGGAGGCGTCGGGATGTCTGGAGAAGGACAGGTGTTTGAGGACGCGAAGCGTGCAGAGGCACGTTGGCCAATTAGCGATGAGAATGGGGATAAATTGGGGGAGACACAGAGAGACAGGGGTTGGTTGGAGTTGGGAGCTGGACGATGAAGACGCAGAGTTAGGAACGGAGTAGAAGCAGAGTCTAGAAACAGAGTTTGGAAACAGAGTAGAAACAGAGTTCGGAACAGAGTTGGAGACAGAGTGAGAAACGGAGTTGGAATAGCGTTAGCGGAGCTGAAGCAAGACGAAGTAGTTAGCAGTGGAGTGAGCGTAGCAATAGCGGAGCTGAAGCAAGACGAAGTAGTTAGCAGTGGAGTGAGCGTAGCGTTAGCGGAGCTGAAGCAAGACGAAGTAGTTAGCAGTGGAGTGAGCGTAGCGATAGCGGAGCTGAAGCAAGACGAAGTAGTTAGCAGTGGAGTGAGCGTAGCGTTAGCGGAGCTGAAGCAAGACGAAGTAGTTAGCAGTGGAGTGAGCGTAGCGTTAGCGGAGCTGAAGCAAAACGAAGTAGATTTGAAGCTTTCGTGACTGAAAGGATCCATACTCTTTGGCTCTATTCGGTAAAGTCACGTAGGTAAAAAAATAAACAACAAAAATCACGACGTTTCGGCCACAACACAAGTGGCCTTCATCAGGTGAAGGGACCAGACTGTCTCGAGGACAGCGCTGGAGTGAACACAGCCAAGCTCAGACCGCGACCTTTAAGCTTGTGTGAGAGGAATTAAGGTGCCTTGACAAAGGAATTAGCATAAATAAATTAACATTCAATTGGCGGACTTAGCATGGTGAACGGTGTAGAGGGGGTGAACATGTGCAGACCGGCGAGGGGGGGAGGGGGAGTTTACATATTGATGGTGTGAAAAGGGAATT